AAAAGGCTGATACGAGAAGACAGCGTGAGGAGACAAGGCAGGTTAGGGCGAGGGAGAAGGAGCAGAGGCGTCAGGCGAGGCTTGCAGTAAGTCTAATGAGGCAGAAGGAGAGGGAGGAGAAGGCTATTGAAAAGGCCTCAAGGATCGCGGCTCGCAAGGCTGCAAAACAACTTCAAAAAGCTATTAAAACTTCTCAAAGGGGTAGGAGAAGGAGCTTCATGGCTCCTGCAAAGGCTACTCAAAAAAAGAAGCCTATCGCGAGGCCTCAAGGTGGTGAGGAGCCTCAGGGAGGTGCTGCAAGCTCACCACCTCCAACCTCGCGTCGCGGCCGCGCGATTAGAACTCCGTCTCGATTTCTATAGCTGTATATATATATTAAAGCCTATTGATCTCACCACCAAAATATATCGTGATAATATCTATTTGGTGTGGCTCTATAGCCTCGTTTTTAAGGTAGTTTTGGTGAGGCCGCGCGCGCACTTTGTGGTGGGGCTAGTTAGGCGAGTCTTGTGATTTTATCTTTTTTACGCACGCGAATCGAACTTGGGTACCACTGCTGATAATACATGGACAAAGTTCAAGTACGTAGGCATAGGTGATTCTTAAGCTCCTCTTGGGGTTCATCAAAGCTAGCTGCAGTGTGACTGTTCCAAGGAAACTGAGTAGTTCCAGAGTTCTGCACGTGCTTGATGTTGAGATTGCAATCACCGCTGCACTTCATCTCCATTGATTAGGTCGCAGGGCTTCAGTGCACAGGTATCTTTGCAGCATTACATTTTTCAATTGATAGTCCGACTTGCAACTACCTCCCTGGGTTCATACCAGGCATCAAATCTGGCTTGTCTAGCACCATGCCTCTGAGGAGAATCCACTGCCTCAAGCCCTCCCAGTCTTCACCGTCCTCGTCGCCTCGCCTCCACACTTCCTTGAAACCCCAAGCGCATGCTATGCGATCCAAGGCGGCGCGCTCGTCTTCTCTCAGATAGCGGTCCAGGAGTGGGACACCAGGCCGCCAGACAACTCGGTCGTGGTGGTCGTTGTACGTCGTCAGCGCAACAAAGCCAAGTGTGCCGGTACACAGGACGTAGGTGCTCAGGCCGGCAAAAGTGTATAGCTTAAAGGTCCAGGGATCAATAAAGCCGCTGTATACGGAAACCTCCTGCGCAATCATGTAGATGGCAAGCGGGGTGATGCTCGCCAAGACCGAAGGTAGGCCTAGTTTGGTGATGATGCGGTGTCGCCGCCATGCCGGGGCGCGATATGTGTGATCGACAACGTCCAAGGCCAAGGCCAGGTCCTTCGCTTCGATAGCAGCCGTGAGCGCTTCATCGGCGAGATCAGCGGGAACGGCTTGCTTTGCAGCCTTGGGAGAGGGTCGGGAGAATTTGGGAGGCGACGAGCCTTCGACGGGGATCGGCTTGTTTGCGTAGAGATACAAGGCTTCTGGTATAGTTTTTGGGCGAGCGAGCAGCCGCTGCAGGTGGATGTATGCGGCGAGGACGCTTGGAGAAAGAAAAACCTTTTCGTGCCTGATCAGGTCCTCGGCCAGCTTGGAGAGGTGCGATGGCGAGGGGAGTGCTTCGAGCCCCAGCTGCCTCGACGTCGTTTTCTCTTCGTTTCTTTCGCCCTCGTCGCTACCGAGCCCGGAGAGGATCGCGCCCGCCGAGCTCTGTCGTATGGGTGCCTTTGTGCGCAGCGGCTGCCGTGACCGTATGGATATTGCCTGCTGTGCCACGTCTTCCAGTCCAGCCAGAGCCTCGAGCGCCATGGCTTCGGGCTCGACCTTTGGCGAGTCACATATTTGGCCTATGCGAGCCTCGACGGCGGCCAGTTTTGCCCTCAACGCCACAATGCGGTCCGACGTGTGGAAGGGCTCGTCGTGGCCGCTGTCAGCGGCTGCTGCCTTGCGGGCTGTCGTCGCAATGCTTCGTACGGGCAGCTGGGCGACTAGAGCGGCTGTGCGCGCGGCGTGCCGGCGTGCCGCGGGGGCCTTGGAGGTCGAGGTGAAGAGGGGCGCGCGGCGATGCTGGGGCAGCCGCAGTATGTGGTCGCAGAATTGGCACACGGGGCGCGACGGGGGGCGCAGGGCAGCGGTGGCGGGCTTCATTGCGCGGGTTGGGCGCTGGCAGGCGCAGAGAAGATGGATGGGGTGACGCAGCCGTGCGCGGCTGAGGACTGGGACGGCGGCTGCCAAGCGGTGACGGAATGTTCCAACCATGACCGTCTCTCCAACACGGCACTTTCTGCACGCCCACGCACGCGATCAGGCGGCGACACACGGCACATATACTGAGATCCCCCCCACGACCGCCGCAGACACACATCGCCATCGACGCGCGCCGCCCTCTTCGCCATGCCGCCACCACCCCCTCCGCCTCCGCCCATGCCGCCCATGGGACGAGGCGCTGGAGGGCCGCCGCCGCCGCCAATGCCAGGAATGAAGGCGCCCGGGGGCAAAGCACCGTCAGGAGCTGGAAGAGTACGTTGCGTCCGTGGCGGGCAGCCAGCAGAGGGCCGCCGCCGCCGAGTTGGGCATCAAAAGGGCTGCCGCTAATGCGTCACAGGGAGCGCTGCTGGGAGACATCAGCAAGGGCACCAGGCTGCGGAAAGTCACACAGATCAACGACCGTTCGGCGCCAATTGTGGGCAAAGTGAGCGACGGGCCCAGTGCAGCGCCCATGGGGGCACCAGCCATCCCCGGCATGGGCAGGGCGCCCGCCGTGCCAGGCCTTGCGCCGCCCGTGCCTGGGGGGAACCGCGCAAGAAGCAACAGCGACACCAACGACGGCGGCGGCGGCGGCCTGGCTGCCGCGCCACAGCTGGGCGGGCTGTTCGCGGGAGGCATGCCCAAGCTGCGCAAGTCGGGCGGTGTCAAGACGGGCGCGGATCAAGACCATGCGCCATACCTCTCAGATCCCGAATCAAGTCGCGCCTCAGCACCCACACCGCCGCGAGGAGCTGCCCCCAGGCCTCCAGGCCCTCCCCCCTCGGCGCCCCCCGCGCCGCCAGGAGCTCGACCGGCCCTCGGCGCCCTGCGTGGCCTCGAGTCGCGGCCCTCGTCAGTGGCCTCGAGCATAAGCGGAAAGCCCAAGCCGCCCCCGCCCATTGGGAAGAAGCCGCCCATCCCACCTCCATCGTCTCGAAAGCCGTCTGGCCTCGCTCCTCCGCCGCCCGCTCCCTCTCCCGCTCGTGCACCGCCGGTTCCAGGAGGCGCCCCGCCTCCTCCACCACCAGTTTCCACGCCCTTTGCTCCTCCACCGCCGCCTCCTGCTTCCACCTCGCCCCGCCCTGCTGGGGCGCCGCCAGCGCCGCCTCCGCTACCTCCTCCCTCGCCAGCGCCACGAGCACCAGCACGGTCGACACCGCCCCCGCCTCCTACAGCGCCACCGCCAGCCAACCCGCCTGACGACGACGAGTATGATCCATACAAATACTCGACATCTGCCCCTCCACCGCCCCCTCCAAACGGACATGCGCCCTCGCTTGCAGAAACAGCAGCACGAAACGCCTTTGGTCGCTCGACGCCCGCTGCACCTCCACCGCCTCCCCCAGCATCACCACCGGCAGCACCGGCGCCCCCTCCGCCCGCCATGGCGCCCCCGAGCCGACAGGCCACTCAGACACCATCACGTATGATGGATGCAAGCTCATACACCTTGACCAATGGCGGATCAGGTATCAAGAGCCCAACCGGCTCCGGAGGCGGGGGTCACAAAGGCCGCGTTCGGCCGATCCACGACTTGAGATGGAGGTTCCAGGACGAAGGACAATTCCCACGACCTCGAGAATTCACAAACAGCCCCAAGAAATATCGTGCCGGCCGCGGCAGCAGCGTTCCATTGGATCTGAGTGCGTATGAATAGAAGTGACGACGGGCTTGGGAGCAGGTTTTTATTTGCCATTGATGTTGACTCTCGTCATGGGGGGTCGGTGGGGCTCGTTCAGGGAGGGATACATGGTTGAAGTTTAGCCTTGGTGTTTGTGGCGTCTTGGCGCAGAGCGGGCATGTATATGCATTGTGAGAACGTGAAGAAGACTGAAAAAATGTGTGTTTTTATTTATCAAGTTTCGCATGTGTATGTAGTTCTTTGCAGAAAGAAAGGACATCACGTGCATTACTATTCACTGGAGTGTGTGTGTGTGTGTGTATATGAGAGAAAGAGAGACTAGTGCGCCTGCTCGTGTTGCGATCGACTAAATAAAGAGCAGTGCTAGCGAGGAATGCAAAAAAAAGCTATGGATTGGATAGTATACCTGGACGCGCATGAACAAATCAAGTAGAGAGCACGTGACAATATGCGTGCTAGCTGCCTGCACTATTACCATTACACAACAAAATATCCATCTAATACATCTATCTACGTAGAATCATATCCATAAACTCATTAGACAGAGAGAAAGAAAGAAAGAAAGAGAAAAAAAAAGAACATTCACTGCCGCTTCTTGCCCTTTGGCACCCGAAACACCCAGTACAAGAAGATAGCGCCGCCAACATTAAACACAATGTAAACCCACAGCAGCCCGAAATCCCTCCACCGCGTATTCCAATCGACGTGGACTCTGCGCAAAAACTGGTCTGTACTGGTGATCTGGCAGAAGCCGCATGATTGCGTTGCATTTGGGTCGCGCAGATAGCCACCCGCCATGCTTATGTACGAAGCCATGTACTCGCCGCACGTCTGGCCCTGCGGCGGGGCGAAATGCTGGAACTCGGTTGCGGCGCAGTAGGCGGGGGCCTCGCCGAGCGTGGTGGCCAGGAAGCTGGAGACGAGATAGGTAAAGGGGTTGACGCGGTACATGAACATCCAGAAGCGCGGGAGTTGGTTGCGGGGCGCGAGGATACCGCAGAAGGCGTACATCATGATGGTCAGCAGCGTGGTGAAGGCGCCGGCGATTTCCTCGCTGGGCGAGCCTGCAATGAGCAGGTGCGCGAGAGAACTGGCGAACAGGAAACACGCGACGATGATGAGCAGCGTGTGGAAACCGCGGATGTTGATGCTGTCTGTGGGCTCCGCGTTGCGGTATAGCCCCGCTGGGTAGTACCAGACTAGGAAGCAAATCATGGCCATGAAGGCGTTCCAGGCGAGTTCGACGAGGATGTTGGAGAGCACAAAGGCTTGCCAGGCATAGGTCTTGGATTGCCGTTCTCGCGCTTCGTACAGTGTGCGCTGCAGCATCCATATCGGCAGGATCTGGTAGATGAGCTGGATGACCTGCGCGCCAAACAGTCAGCAATGAGTCTTTGGATGCGAAGAAGTTTATTTAAAAATGGGGGCGGACTATGGGACTTACGACAAAAAGGAAGATGAAGACTCCGTACATCTGGTTCTGCAGGCCTTGCATCGTGTTCTGGCTGTCGAAGAAGGAGAAGCCGATTAAGAAGGAGCAGCCAATGGTCAGAATGGCTTTGGCGTAGATGTACGACGGCATCCTCCAGTACTGCTGTGCGCACCGGAGTCCGACAGTCTGTAATTGGTCTTTGAAGGATGCTGCAAAGGCTCGGTGCGAGCCGTTACTAGCATCCATGACGGCTGACGGCTGGTGAACCAGCTCTCGCATTTTAGCCAGCTCAGTCTGCAGCTGCTCGTACTCCGGGCTGCTCTTCCAGACCGCAGGCCAGTCGATTTCCGTCTTGGCCCCAGGTGCGGCGCCAATGGCTTCAAGCATATACTCGGCCGGGTTGGTACCAGAAGGACATTTCGGCGCGCCGTTGCGATGGAAATAGTCAAGTAGTGTTTCGGAGCCGCGTCCAATGTTGCCAAAGTACACCGTTCGTCCGCCTTTGGCGAGTAAGAGGAGACGGTCGAATCGCTGGAAGAGAAGGGATGAAGGCTGGTGCACAGTGCACATGATCGCTTGGCCATCTCGAGTCAGTTTCTCCATGAGATTGCAAATGGACCATGAAGTTTGCGAGTCGAGTCCGGATGTAGGCTCGTCGAGGAAAAGGAGCAGCTTTGGGCGAGCAGCAAGTTCAACGCCAATGGTCAGCCGTTTACGTTCTGATGTGGTCAGCATAAATTCCAAGAATAGAAGAGCTGGCACTCACGCTCCACGTTGAGTCCTGTTCCCGGGACGCCAACGACTGCATCTGCATACTCCTCCATGTCCAAGAGCCGAATGACATGGTCGACATAGGCCAATCTCTCTTTGCGTCCATACTCCAGTGGCTGGCGCAGCAGAGCTGAGAACTCTAGTGCCTCTCGCACAGTCGATGTGTCGAGATGAATGTCTTGTTGCATGCAGTAGCCCGTCTGTCGCTGGAAAGACCCATCTCGCTGTCGGCCGTCTACAAAGATGTCACCCCCTATCACGCCCATGGTGGTTCGGCTGGCGAGAACATCGAGCAGTGTAGTCTTGCCTGCGCCAGATACACCCTGAAATGGTTAGCTCAACTACCCGGTTCCATTGTGATTATACATACCATGAGTGCGGTGAGAGTACCAGGCTTGATGAATCCGTCGACTTCATCGAGAATCTTGCGTGTTTCTCCCTTGATCTGTACTTCGTACGTGACTTTCTCCCAGTGGAAGATTGACACCTGCTTTTGTACTGCCATCTCAGAACTGGCGTTGCGGCTAATCTTCTCGCCCTCGTGGGCAGTTGCGCCACCCGCCTCTTCATCTGTACCCTGGCGCTTGGCCATTTTCTTCATCTTGGAACGGCGGAACACCAGTACCTCGCCCTTGGAGCGCTCCGAAGCAACTACTTCGCTCATAATCAGGTGGGCGACGAAGAGGACAAAAGTGATAACCACTAGTAAGCCATAGTTTCGCCACCGTTCACTGTATTGGTACTGAAATGCAGTCTCGACATACGCAGTACCGCTTACGTAATCTTCACCGGGTCGCGAGCCCTGTACAGCGCATGCTCGCTGGTCTGAGGCAACGTTGTCATAGGATGGTCCAGAAGGTACGAATGATGAGCAGGCGAATGTGCGCCCAGCGAACTCACTGCTCATTACGCTCGAAAATCCATACGATACCGGGTTGATGTGCCGCAGCCAAGCAGCCCATGATTGCATGTATGGAACAGGCAATGGAAACCCAGTGTAGAGAATCAGCAACAAGAGGATGACGGAAGCTGGCGCAAAAGCCTGTGCAAGAGTCTTGGTCGTCGAACTGATGAGCCGAAAGAACATGCTCATGGAGAGACAGGTAGTGAAGCAGACAAGAAGAAAGAAAAAGAACGAGCCGGCATCTCGACGCAGGTTAGACATGAAGTAGAGAGTGGTGGTGACAAAAAGGGAGTTCAGGATCTTGTACGGGATGTCCACGATCATTGAAGCGAGTGCCTCGGCGCTGGGGTGATATAGCGCGTAGCGGTTGTGCTGATAAAAATGTTAACCTGCATTGTCCGAGTATGTGTAGTCTGGGAAAGTTACCTTTTCAACAATGGGACGTTTTGCGTAGAGACTCATGATCTCTAACAAACTACCAAAAGCATTCAACAGGATCTGAGAGAGTGAGCAAATGACTTCAATCACCTCCAAAAAATGAGCTTGTGCAGACTTACGACCATGAAGATGGCTCCTCCACGCTTAACGAATGATGCGGTTGTCTGAGGTAGATTGAAGAAGATGCTGGAGACAACGAGTGACTCGACAAAATTGATAAACAACATGGCCAAAGGGACGGTGGGGTCATTCTTGATTCTCTGTATGTCTCGCCACATGCAGAGAAAGACCTGGCTCACGTAAGAAAGTGTGTATGGCGAGTTCTGACGCTGGTTGGAGGATTTCTCCAGGGCTCTTGATAGTGCAAAACGTTGAAGCTGTTCGCCTTTGAGTGGGTGGCTGTTGTTGTAGTCTTCAATGTCCCTCAACAAGCGTTTCCGTTCTGGGCTCTCCTTCCAACACTTTGCAAAGTCGTCCGAAGTGCGAGGAGTGGCGTTCTCAAAGCCAGGTCGGACACGACGCTCGGACGCAGAAGTCATCGAAGTGAGAAAATCAGGAGTGGTCTGTGAAGCAGGACATTCGAAACCAAGCCGCTCGAAATATGCACGTGCTTCGTCTGCTGGGCCAAAGTAGATCTGTTGACCTTCGTACAGCACCGTCACCTTGTCAAAAAGCTGCAAACAGTCAGATCTATACTTGTAACACCATGGAGCAGAGACATGGACGGAGTAGAAAGCATACCTCGTAAGCAGCTTGTGGAGCTTGGTAGATGGCAACGCAAGTAGAGACGCCAAACACGTCGCATTGTGTCCTGAGCGTCTTGCAGAATTCGACAGCATTTGCGGAATCTAAGCCACGGGTAGAGTTGTCCCACAATTGTAAAGGCGCAAAGCTAAGAGAGGCTTCAGCAATGGTCACTCTCTTACGTTCGCCTCCGCTAACACCTCGTACAAAGTCATTGCCAACCCGGGTATTGATGGTATGTGATATGCCGTACATGGCCATCATAACCTGGAAAGAATTAGCAGGGCATTCTTGGGGCATCTTTGGTGGAAACACTGACATCGCGTAGATGCGTAGCATACTGTTTTCTAGTGAGGCCACCAGGGATTTTACGTGGAGCGCGAGCAAGAGCAGTAAAGTAGAGCGTGTCACCAACACTGAGCTGGGGAAAATGGGCGTCGACCTCAGCTGTGTAGATGGCTTCTCCTCGAAATGCAGTGTTCATGTCCTTGGCCGGAACGCCCTGATAGTTGAGGTACGACTCAGGACTGACCTGGAAACCATGGGTCTCTCCTGCAATAGTCTTGAGCAGTGTAGAGCATCCAGAACTGGATCGTGTTAGCGGCAAGTCGTTATCTAGACGTTTAAGCTTCAACCTACCCGGGTGGGCCGAGGACGCATAGCTGTTCCCCAGGAAGTACTAGTCCATCAAGGTCACGCAAGATTTCAATCTTGCTTGTGCCTTTGCCGAAAAGCGAAGGCAGCTTCAGTATCATGTTGCCTACTGTCGATTGGAAGTCTGTTGGGGACCCCTTGCCCCACACATTGAGACCTCTAAAGGCAACCCCGGCGACGCGAGGAACGGCTTCCTCGCTATTGTAACGCAAATCATAGAACGCCCGTGCCCAATCTCTTGGGCGAAACTGTTCACTGTTCGGGTCCAACCGGTGATGGAGGGCATCGTCCGCGGTTGACCTAAAGCCAATCTGCTCGGATTGTGCAGTGAACTTGCGGACAAGCTGATGGATTTGCTGGTCGCGCTCTATTTCAAAGTGGCTTTGGTTTCCTTCGGTGGATTCTGAAATAGACGCTGCTGAACTCAGCCTTGAACGGTCAGCATGGCCTTCTCCGGTCGTCGTTCTGGTATATGGGTAACCCAGTCCGGCTGACATGGTTGGCGAGCAAAGACTTGGAAGAGGTCCGTGTATGGAAGCTGAAAAGTGTAGTCCTGTAGGCCAGCTGAAGGACACTAGTTGGTCTGATATAGATATTTAAATGGCGACCACCAAGAGCACCAGGCCAGCCATGCACTCCATGTGGCGAGCGTATTCTAGCTTTTTCCGCATCGTGTACCTCCGGATGTCCAGGGTGCCAAGTAGGCGCAAGTAACTATTAGCAAATGCCAGAAACTTTTCCACGGGTATTCTTCGGTCTCAGAGAGCTGTTTGGGGCACGTGTGGCCATGATGGTGTGAGGCTCTCGCTCACAGCCCGTGTGTCCGGCTCCGTGGTGGTGGGCCTGACCCCCTTACGGGCAGGCTAAAGCCCAACAGAGACAAGCGCCCGCCGGACATTCGGACACCGACCCGTCCGAAACTCGCAACCATGGCCAAACACGGCCTCGACCTACCTCATGCACCAACCGTTCATCCACCTTCGCGTCGGAGCCCGATCAACTGGAGGAGCCACGGGCAATGCGCGACACGGCCATGTGCATAACCACATGACGAACCCCGAAAACGCGCGTAACGACCTTCCGCAGACACTCACCACCATTGAACCATGACAATGAAATTTGCCGTACGTTGATGTAGGCTGCGACGCCAAGTTGGGACCTCTCACTGACCCTGCAGCCAAGTGTCTTCGGTGCAGGCGTAAGAAGGTGAAATGCGACAGACAGGACCCAATTTGCCATCAGTGTGTAACTGCTAGGGTCGAGTGTCAGTATGTGGAGCGCCGCCAAAGGCCGCGTTTTGCACAGCAGAAGAACATCATGCAGCACCTGAGCCAGCGACTCGAGCAGCTTGAGAAGCATGTGGGCGGTGCGAGTGATGAAAATTCGCCGTCTGCACCCCACATGACGCCAAAGGCAGAAGAAGCCACTGAAAGACGTACGCCTGTGCCGTCTCCCGAAGCCTCGCTTACCGTGGCTGATGGCCAGGAATCGTGGGTAATAAGCTTCAACCACAGCGCATCCAATGGCCCCTATGGCTGACAGGGCTAGATCTATCGGCTTGCCACAGATGCTCGCCGTAGCTTTCAGACTCAAGCCACTCCCGTCAACACGCCAGCGCGAAGCATCGACAATGCCATGCTGTCGCTCAACGAAGCTCTCGAGGATCTCGGGAGATTCAGAGTACGTACCAAAGCTATAAACGTCGATTTGGAAATCTCGCCCGAACAAGCGCGAGAGTGTGTAGACCGCTTCCCCACCACGGTAAACTCAATGATCGTTCCAGATGCGCTTATGAGCTCTATGGTTGATATGAGCGTCCTGCGAGCACTCCCGGACATCATTAATTCTCCCTATGTCGCCATTGATCCTGGAGTGCGTGTCATGTAGTAAGTATCTCTTGCATAAACCCTCTGCATAAGACTGTATTCACTCATCTACAGCTACAATGCGCTGTACTACGGACTGCGTGAAACCAACGGCCCCGGACATGATTTGACTGTGAAAGCGTACCTGAAGGTCCTTGAGAGTGTACCAGCATGGCTCGAGTCTCCAAGACAAACCAATATGGATGGCCTCACAGCCACCCTCACAGCTTGGACGTCGAATACCATGCACGACTATCAGCTTGCTTGGAAGTTTCATTGCAAGTCATGTCAATACATCATATCCAAGGGCATGGACCAAATTGATGCTACCCCGGCAAGATCTTTTGCGGAAGAGGAGGAAAGGGATCCTGCCCGATATCTGTACTGGCATGCCCTGTGCACTGATGTCTTACTGCGCTTGGTCTATGGGAAGCCAAAGGTCTTAAAATGGGTACCTGGTAAAGTTCGACCGCCGTTCACCTTCCGTTTGGACAATATGCAGCCATCGGCAATGATGGTCACAATTGGCGTCGTGTGGATACGATACACGTTTTTGACCGATGAACTGATTAGCTACGTCGACAGCCACGCATCCTTTAGCTCGCCAGAAGACCTCTTTCAGAAGACGGATGAGTGCTGCAGAAAACTCGAGGAACTCATAGCTGAATGGAGACTTGAACAGCTCATGAACGACACAGATACGTTGGATGATCACCGATGTATGCTTGCAGATCATATCAGTACGTCGGAGCTGCGATTAGGCACGGGCCGCGATAGCTGATACATTGCTAGTGAATATGTTAGCATACATGATTGGTATGCAGAGGCTAGTTCATACAGCCGTACGGAATTCCGCGACAGCAGGCAAGCCCAGTCCATTCGCTGTCCGTGCTGCTCGAAAAGTCTCCAGCATCATCCTCATCTTCCACAATGACCCCGCTATGAAGGCCAAGTCGATGAGTTCAACCAACCAGTAAGTGATTATCATTACAGCTCTGAGACAACCAAATCACTGCGAGCGCGACTGACCCTTGTCAAGTTTCATTACCATGTATCCTTTTTGTGTGGTGTTCACGCTCTACGAACACATCCTTGCTTGCGGAAACCCGGACGATTGCGAAAGTGACATTCAAACGCTCGAGAGCATTGGTGTCGCCATGAACGAGGCATGCGCACAACGCCGAGACTTGGTGCCTTTTGCAAAAACCGTAGACGCATTGAACAGGGTATCGCGGACACTACAAGAAGAGAGACGCAAGGTGACAGTACCGAATCTGATGGGAGAGCCGGGATATAACACTAACCCAAGTGTTGAATTGGCGCCGACGAGCTTCGATACCATCCAGAATCTCGTTGCGACCGAGTTGCCAGACTTTGATATGTCGGCCTTCTCCATGCCTGAATATCCCCCTGACACGGATTTCGACTTTCAATCGCTCGGACTATTTAGGGCATTGGAAAACGACTTTGTTGCGCGAAATTGGCAGACTGATTGGTGGGATTTGGGCGGTGGTGTGAGTGACGGGCTGGGCCAGACACCCGGAAGGTATCCATAAGCCGCGTCACAACATGACATGTTTAAGATACAGTGCTAAGTCGACTCAGTGCAACGAACCAACCAGGCAACCCGGCCTATCTCCCATAATATCCGGTCATGTAATTTAACGCTTCGGCTCGTTCCCGGCCGCGCTCGGCTACATGAAAATTTCTGCCACAAGCCTACCACCCAACCAAGCTGGATCCAAGTCTCGCAATACAGCAAACATGTTGTTACTATGTAAAACTAATCAATCACTCCCCTTATATCAACACAGCAGAAGATTGGCTGGGTCAATTGCTGCAGCGTGGGACTCTTAGCTTTCACGGGCTGTCTGTCTTGTTGACCATGTGGTGAGGGCATGGTTAGATGACGGCCACGTGATTGTCATTTAATTATATGATCTCACTTTTGCGACTATAATCCAGAGATAATGTATAATGTGAGATTCTATAAATATCTACACTGTATACGAATTTGGGAACTTGGATGTTTGAAATGTTTTTTGGACAACGGTTGTAGCCTGGCGAAAGGTTGCGTTGTGCTGTGGTGCGCACGTGACTGCTTCCAGGCCTGGTATGTGAATGATGTATATGAATGATTGCACCGCAGGCAGAGAAGTTCATCAACTCAGACTCACCCTGCGTTGATATCTATATATTGCCTAGTTACCTATGCACATCAAAGCTTGCTCTCCATCTATCTTTACATTGCGACAGCCCTATCGCTGCCACGGTGTAAGCTGACTGTCAAGGCAGGTGAAACATGCGGGCCATGCCCTGCCAAGCTTATCGGCATGCTGATGCTGTCGATGAATAATTTTCTGGAATTCCATGACACCATTCTATCGCGTCTATCTTGACCCAAGCACTTGCACTTTGTTCTGCAGCTCGGCGCCGTTGAGCCAGCCAGTGACTGAAGATCAAACCAAGACGATACCCGTTCAAGAAGCAAGCCTCACAGCCACACTCATCACATACTTACCAGCATCATGCCCGCTGGTCTCGGACATGTCCCGCCTTTTTGTTTTTTGCGCACGCAAACAACCTGGCAGCAGTAGCCCAGCACGCCCAGGCCCCGCCAGCCGAGCACACGCCCAGCCTCTTACCCAGTCGCCTACACTATGTTCCCACAGGATGCATGCATGCATGCACACGGCATCCTTCCACGGGACCAAAGATACACACTTCCACCACCAAGTCTCCGTGCGCGTGCATCCGGCTGACCCAGACGCCCTGCAACATGCAGCAGAGCCGGTAATACGCAACAGGTAACGGGGGCCGCCGATCCGCGCACCCCCCAACAGCGCCAACGTATGCAATGTGTAATGCGCGAAGGCTGAATCCACCGTTTGGCCTAATTAGTTAGCTTAGCCTACTTAGCCCCGCGGAGAACAGGGGAATGGGTGCTTGTGTATGGCCGGGTATGGCCTTGTTTGCCAGCAAATGTTAACGGGAAGTGTTTTTTTTTGGAAAAAGAAAAGGCGGGCTAGTGTAGCGGGATGCGAGGAGGAGAGCCAGTGCCAGACAGAATCAGTGCGTCGGAGAGAGAAATCAAAGTGCGCTAGCCCTCAATTCCCGTTAGAAGGGGTGGCTGTTGGGATGGCTTTCGAGGTGGCAGTGGTGGTGGAATGCATGCGAAGCTGTGCGCTACCGAGTCTCCGGCTACAAACTACACGGATTTAGTTTATCGATTAGCTAGCTAGCTAGCTAGCTGTATGGCGTTCACATGGCGACATGCCATGTCACATCACATGGACATGGGCGAAGCGGGATCTCGGTTTCCAAGGTTCTGGGGTTGATGGAGGTAGAAAGGGGGGGGGGGCGAGCACGAGCGGAGGGGGAAAGGAAATTCCCTGTTGGCAGTGCTGCATGTGAGGGCGTGTGGTTGGCGGAGAACAGAGGAGTCGCGGCAACGAACCGTTCGAGGGAAAGAGAGAAAGAAAAAAATGTTGAGGGTGGGCGTGGGCTAAGGCGTGTCTAAGTAATGTAAGGGTTTGTTGTCGCAGACCTGCTGATGAACTATCTCGAGGTCATGCTGGGGGGTTTGTGCTACTAGACTTGGTTAGTAGGCTGCTTTGTTTAGCGTATACTTACCCCGGTGTACGTGTGGCAGAGGCATCATTTTTGTCTCTTCCATGTAAGTACTTGGAAGCAGAATGCCCTATCGCAGAGAACAAGACCATCGACTCCTTCTCCATGCTGCATACGACCAAGTCATGCTAGTCGAGTTGTGAGCAAAGGAAACGAAGCAAAGCGCATTTTCGGTACATGGAACAAACGGATAGATTCCAAGCTCATGTTCATATTTGCAGTCAGAGTTTTTATTCTTTTTCACATAAGTATGAGTCTTTTAGCTGCGTCGTTTACCAGCGAAGAAGCAGCCGCATTACTGTACACCTACAAGCAAAGCATTGCACGTGAAACAACGGTCCACCAGAAGAAGAAAATGGTAGAACAAGAAACTATGTAATCGTGGGTGGCGTTCACAGTCGTTTTCGCTTTTTTTTTTTTCAAAAGCTTCTTTTCCCATGTACCCCACGTCGCACAAGCCCGTGTATGCATGGACGTTTCACCTTTCAAATATAGCCCCGCTCGATGCGTCAATCAAAACGGACATGATGTGTATTGGTGTTTCAAACGCAGAAGCAGAAAAAGGATTTTTTTTTAAAAAAGAAAAAAGAAAAAAAAAGAGAGACTCTAAAAGACGTGCACGCAGCAACGCCTCTCTACACCACAGCGCCGTGCGTGCGCCCCATTTCCACCCGTTTTACTCGCGAGCCGAGGAAGGGCAAATGTGCATAACACGTGGTTCCGCATTTGCAAACAGCCGTCTTGTGATGTCGAGTGGGAACGGGAGAAAAGACAAATATACGGCACTTAGTTTCTCTCTCTCTCTCTCTCTCTTTCTTTGTCTCCGAGTGAACAAATGTAGCATCTACATGATTAATCTATACACATATATATTCCATTTCTAATGGTGTAAATGGTATATGCATCCATCTATCTACTTACTTACTTACTTACCTCACGCTCTACACCAAACCCACTCGCTCGCTCACCTCGTACATTCCCTCCCACTCCCACTCCCACAAGCATACCTCATGTGGCTGCTGCGCAAAGGGGAATTCCTCAATCTACGCATCATCCCGGCAAATCAACCCCATGAGTAAGCATACGAAGAAAACGAAACGAAACGAAACGAAATGAAAAAAAAAACGGAGCGAAACGAATGAAACAAAACGAAACGGAAGAAGGACTGGTTGGTTGGTGAATAAGTAAATAAGTAAGTAAGTAAGTAAGCAATGTTTGGTTTTTTTTCTCTCGAACTTGTTGTTTCGCGGTTTTGGAGGCTTTCATTTCTTCTTCTTCTTCTTCTTCTTCTTCTTCTTCTTCTTCTTCTTCTTCTTCTTCTTCTTCTTCGCTATCAGGTTAGGTTGGATGGATGTATGAATAGATGGATGGACAGTTGTAAACGGGATATTGCCCTCTCTCTTTCTCTCTCTCTCTCTCTACAGCTGATTTCGCCTGATCTAGCGCTTATTTAGCTATACACACACACACACATATATATATATATAACTATATATACATCCACTCACGTGACATAGCGTTGCAAAAACACGGCCATGAATACTACTTGATCGTATTGTTCCTACATCCTGTTAACCAATCTGAAGGTTGTTTAAACATCAATGCATCTAAGTATGTACATCAGCGAAAAAACAACGATGCAATATCCAAGCTAGTTCTCTACAGCTCGAGTAGAACCAGGTTCTTCTTCACACACACAAAACGCGGACCTGGGGAAGAAAAAAAGTTGGAAAGCTATTTGGCTAGTCCGTATTTTTTTCTTTTTCTTTTTTTTCTTCTTGTCATCACCAACCCCCCCTCAGATAAGCACCACATCATCAAGGTCAAAGGGGGAGAGGAGCAGGACGAGAACAAAAAAGCAAATGACCGTGACAAAAAAGAAAACCACAATAGTGTCAGAGTACGAGTCAATCAAACCCAACGCATGAATATTTTTTGACAAACCATGAGACCATGGAAACACGGAGACGGTAAAGGCAGACAAAAAAGGTGTGAAAAGGCAGAAAGATTCGTTATTCTACCACTATATGCTTATGCAAATGAGGACTTTAATCCCAGGTTGCCTCGATGCAAAACCCACGAGCAGATTCGTTAAGAGGTGTGTCTCTCTCTTCCCCCCATTTTGAGTGCCGATAAACGCCGTCGGAAAAAAAAAGAGGGACTGATAATAATTACTACAACGCTGCTCGCAATCCTTGATGCCAAGCAACCAGTTTGCGGCGGATGAGGGGGGGGGGGAAATAGTACGAGAGAGAGGGAGGAAAAACAACAAAAAAACCACACTTAGTATTGGCCATGGCCTGTCCAAAACATACATGCAAGATGCCCAAACGCTGCCCAGAAGAAGCCCCAATATTGCCACATGGTACAAGATTAAAACGCTGTAAAAATTTTCAATGCACGGCTTGGTACCGGCACGCAGTCGTGGTAGGGGGAGTCCGTGGCGGCGATAGTCCAGTCGAGGCGACACTTTACGAACAAGAATTAGACTTGTTCAACAAAGGCCGACTGGCGCGAGTCGCCCGATGTTCTCCGCTTCTTTTGCAGCTTCTTGGATGCTCTCCGCTCGGCAAGCTCAACCTCCTCAGGCGTGGGGTCCTTGAAGGTGCCGGGGCGCAGAATCTCGAAGCCCGGGTTGACTTTGCGCAGGACCGGGTCGTCGCGATCTTGGTTTTGCTGCGTCATGACTTCATAGGGGACCTGATCGTAGCTGTATTGATGGCTTGGGCCATGGGGCTGATACGAGTCAGGGTAGAAGGGAGCGTTGGGGGCGTAAGATTCCGTCAGGGGCACGGCCTGCTTGGCCTGGTTTGCGGCGTGGCCATCGTGGCTGGGACCTGCCGAGGAAGATACAGCGTCTTCACAGATGTAGGCAGTATGAGGGAGAGGCGGCGAAGGCGACTTGGAAGGCATAAAGTAGTTGACGCCATTGAGCGTCGAGACATTGTTGTCGGCGACGCTGGACCATTCTCCGCTGTGGCCTGGCTTGCGCACTCGGGGCGTGAGCTGTCCAGTTTCGGCCACGTGCGACAGGCGGTGGCTGCGGAGCAATTCGAGATCCGTCTTGGGGTCAATGGGTCGTTGGACGACGTTGGGCGGGAAGTAAGCCGTCTCGTAGTTGCGGACATTGGGGTCTAGCGCCATGTAGTCAGATTCGTCACTGGTTCGGCTGCTTGAGCGCTTGGATGAGCCGGCTTGGCTAAGAGGCGTGGCGCGAGCTAGATGACCGTTAGCGTTGAGCATGGGTGAGGACCTGCAGCCTCGCCAACACGTACTTGGAGATGGAGGACCGGCCGGGTTGGCAGAGCGCGAGACGTGGTGGTGGCAGTTGGTGCAGCGCGAGGCATCGGCGCCCTGGGGCTGAGGGGGCGACGAAGAGCGAGAGTCTGAGCTGGCGACGAGTTCGGCGGAGACGGCACGGTCAAAAGAGCTGGGGGCGCGCGAGCTGTTGCGGCTAGAGCCCTGGGCGACTGGCTGTGGGAGCTCGAGCTGCGAGGTGCTGTTGAAGCCGCGGGGAAACTTTTCACTCATGACCGAAGCGCGGCTGCTACCAACAGGCGTGTTGGTGCGCGAGATCCAGACACCGTCGACTTCGATACCGCTCTGAATGGCACGGATACCAAAGGGAATCTCGTCCTTTGTCTCATCGTTTGCCTGCGTGACAGGCTGGGCCTCGAGCATCTCGGGCGACTGGGCACGTTTGCCTTTGTCGACTTTGCTGTACTTGCGGACCTTGCGCTTGTCATAGGCCAGCTTGATGAAGCCAATGACAATGGTGACGACGATGCCGCAGGCGAGGACCTTTGGAGGGAGCCATGTTAGTGGGGGACATGGGGGAGGAGCACGAGGATGGCCACTCACAAAAGTCATCTTCTGCCACAGCTGCCAGCTGTCGAAGAAGACGCCATTGTCACTTGCTCCAAAGCCCATGGTTGCGGTGAGGGACTTTGAATGTCTGCTCGGGGGGGGGGGCCAAGGTAAGAATAATAAAGGCGGCGGGGGGGATCTGCACAGGTGACTAGGACAGGAAGGCGCGGTGGGCGGTGGTGGTGGGCGACGGGCGATGGAGGGTGTGCCAGCAGGAATGATGGTGGTTGGCAGTCGCAATGGCAACGCGTGATTAGGATCGCTTCCGGGACAGCTATATTAGGGTGAGGATGGGTAACGGGGCCTTGTGCTTATGCGGCAAGTGCCGGGGCAGCGAGAGACAAAGAGGTCTGGGGGGGTGTGTCGGGGGGGGGGGGGGACGAGCGAGCGGAGGGTTTGACAGTGTCCAAGGCGGGGGTGGAAACGAGTGTGGCACGTCTTGGGGACGGTGGGTGTTCAGGAGCTGGCCAGGCCTCTCATACAGGTCTACATGCAGCAGCGCCGGTGGCGAGGGATAAGGGTCGAGGGATTAGCAAGGCGGGCGGGCGCTGCGCAGACCATGGGGGGAGGAATTATTATAGCATACCAGTTAGCAGGGCGGGACAGGGCGACGGGGGGGGTGAGGGGGGGTGGGCTTGACACGGTGACGGCGCTATGGCAGGCTGGCAAAAGGCAGGCAGGCTGGCAAAAAGGCAGGTGCAGCACGGTCGGGGCAGGAGCGCCAGCGCCAGGGGGGGCAGGCGTGCATGGGGCGCCGCGGGCGGACGGCAGGCGCAGGCGCGCAGGCTCGAAATAGCAAGCGACCGTGTTGTTTGTGGGTGTTTGGAACGTTGCATGTCTGGCAGATCGGCGCGTGCGGGTGGGGCCATACGAGACGGAGGTGCGAAGACAGACATGCTGCTGTGGTAGGCGTAGGTGTACAGAGGTGGCTTTCAAAAGTTCTTGCTAAGGCGCGGATCCATCGGACCGAATTCTCGTGATAACGTTTCCATTATTTACTTAGCGTGCAAGAAATAATGCCTAATGTAGTTAGTGTATTACTGTAAGTGTATACTTTAGTAGCCATTATTCTCTCCAAACTTCTATTTTAAGGGCTTTTAGTTGCGAATATAGTATAATTCTTAGTCTTCGGCTATATTTTCGGTGGTAACCAAGGAACCCCTGTCAGCAAGAACTTTTGAAAGCCACCTCTGTACCGACACGATGCTTGCATGCCGGTGCCATGTGTCGATGGCTGTCTGCATGTGGTAATGGGTGTGTATTGGACATGGTGGGCGGATGTACAGGTACATGGGCTGGGGCTGGTGGCGTCGCTTTCCCCAGGGCGCCAGCGACGGCAGAGGCACAGCGCCATGCAGTAGGCTAGGCTGGCGGGCCACTACCACTACCACTACTGCTGCTACTAGCTACTACTACCACATGCGCATACATGTACATGTATGTACGTATCGACCATGTAGTATTCATGTGCTGTATGTACCCATTACGGCGCAGCCCGTGGGAGAGGGCTGGGCAGGGGTTCCGCTCCTTTGCAGCACCAATGGCCCGCACGCCATGCCTGTCCTGTGCTGTCTCCCTGGTCCTGGTCGGCCGGATGGCTGTGGCATTTTGTGATTTCCACATGGTGACATGGCCATCTCGTCATCTCATCTCAGTCCACTCCACCGCACTCGACGCCGTCCCCCCCGCCTCCCTGTCGCGCGCCGTCGGTAGCGAGCTGCGAGTGCGAGCACCGCATGGGCTGAGGGCTATTCGAGGCCCCGGGTGCGACACTGTGCCACGCCTACTTTCTACTTACTACACCACTCTCTTGCCAGCAGTAGCTGATGTGTGGTTCTGGATCCTGTCTCCCGCGACCAGTGCCTGGCTCGAGCTGTCCCCAGGAAACCACGCATCGTTTTCGTCACGGGCCCTGCGCGCCTTGGCACGCCACCCACCAGCCACACCACCGGATCCGCGTGGCGCTGCTCCTCCTGGCACTGGCACTGGCACTGGCACGCAACACGTGCATGCATGCATCCATACCACCACCACTACTGTACTCGTATGCCTTGCTTGGCCTCGTCTGCATGCCATGCCACGGTAGCCCACGCACACAAGCACCATCTTCACGCTCGCATCGTCATGTCTGTGTGCGTTCCGTCTTGGGGCTCCACCGTGGCCTCGGCAAGAAAAAAAAAAGACGCGCGATTCGTGTTAGTGTTGGTGGTCCTTGGTAAGCACCGAGCCACTGGCCCAGCTCGAATAGCTGCTCGTATCCGTAAAACCTTTCTCCCGCCTGCAATATCGCGCCTCTTGAGCCAATGTCGGGTGCACGCCCCCGCCGACTCGTGCTGTCGCGACAGACGTTTCTGCTAGCGCGCTCTACCCTCGTCCCGTTTCACCAACACGCCCCCATTCCACTCATGCCATGGCGCCTGCAAAGTTTCCTGCCCTGCCTGTCTGCGGGGTGCCCACGACATGCATACAATCCATCCATCCATCCAAGTACATGGTCTACTCGTCGTAGCATCTCGACGCCTTGCCCTCGCCCATTGTATTATTATTAGACGGCTGCTAATTAACCACTCAACCTCACACATTAGACGCACCCACTCGTCGTATTTGGGATTGCGACAACCGCTGCATGCAAGACATTGCACCTTGACGCTACTTTTCTTCCCCTCTCTTTGGCCTGCAGCTCCCGTGGGCCTCTGTCCACCCGACCAGGCGACAGGGCATGGCGTCAGAGGCCAAGAGGCGCAAAAAAAGCGTCCTTGGTTCGTTGTCTGATACATTCTGGCTAAACACCAGGGGACATAACGTGATGCAATCTCAGGCTGCCCGTCCGTACGCGCCCCGGAAGCCCTTGGCCTCAGACTCCCACTTGACCTGCATCGGGGCCATCCATGGCTGAGGCACCCACCCGTTTCGGCGCGCACATGTCTGAGACTGCCATGCTGCCCTTGGTTCGGTACCTATTACAAGCTCTTGATACTTAGCATGGCTACTTGTTCTTGGCCCTGCATGTGCTGCCTGAGTGCGTGTGAGTGCGTGTGAGTGCGTGTGAGTGCGTGTGAGTGCGTGTGAGTGCGTGTGCCTGGAAAACAAGAAACCCCCGTCTCGCATGGGCGGCACGCGTCTCGTTTGATTCGTTTCCCAACGTCATCTGCCTGCAAAGCGGCGGTTCCTTGGTTGGCCAGCGCCTCTCCCAACCGCAGCCATTGCACCACACTCGTCGCATCATCGCCGACGTGCAAACAAGCAGTCTTGCGCGCGCTGCGTGGCGCGCTGAAGCAACCAAGTCGCATTCGCTGCTCGCATCGCATCCCATCGCACTGCTCGCACTCGCGGGACCCAATGCTCGGTACCTGAACAAGTGCAAGTTCCCTTGTCCGCCTCATGCAGGGACTGCCCCAACGCCTCTCCTCTGCCTCTGCCTCTGCCTCTGCCTCTGCCTCCATTCCCCCAAACCCCCAAACTTCAACCCCTCGCCCGTGACAAATCTGCCTCCAGTCGGCGCTGCCCTCAGAAAACTCTGCCCTCAATGCCCCCCCCCTCGCAAACTCGGCCGCCGCCGTGGCATGACGTTTTTTTTTCGCCCGCGCCATGCTCGCTGCAAAGGACGGATAATGTCTGCACCGAGCCCATGCCCAACAGGTCTTGGGGCCTGCCCGATCGGCTCGGTGGCGGCAGTCATCATGTTAGACACCGGATCGAGAAGTCCCTCTTAAACATCCATACCGACAACCATCTCACAGCACCCGCCCCCAGATCCTCCCCACCTTGCCCCTCGACCGCTCTCTGTCTGCTGCTAGCGCCTAACCACAATGCCCATCCGCAACCCTTTTCGCCGCGCTGGTGCCTCTGACCACCCCGACGACCTTCAGCGGAACACACCGGACAACGGCTTCACCAGCACTGCCGTCTCGGGTGCCACGCCCCTGCAGCTCAAAGACGCTGCCGAATACAAACTCAGTGGTAAGACCCCCACCCCATGACTCTCGCCGCCACGATGCGCTTATACTTTGTCTAGAGATCAACGACAGCGGCGTCTACTTGCCCGTAAGACGCAACCCCTCGCTCTCCCCCGCGTCCGCGCCCGCGCCCGCCCTCATGGCATGGCAGCCGCCCATTCCAATCGCCGCTGGCCCATGGTCCTCTCAGACATTGGCTGACCCTGCCCATAGCCCTCCCCACAGCACGAGAAGCCCACGTTCTGGCATTCCAAATCAAACGTCTCGACCACCTCGTCCAACCACCGCAGCCTGCTCAGCGAAAACGAGCCCTTTAGCATTTCGCGCGAGAGTTTTGATTCATACCGGAGGTCATTTGTGCGTTGCTATGCTATGCACCACCACCACCACCACCACCACCACCACGTCGCCCGCTGACACCAACCCAGGACATTTCGGCCCGCTCCCCCGTTGTCGACAATGTGCACGAAACCTATCCCCGCCAATCGCTCGATGCGCGCCGATCCATGGACACACGACGCTCCTTTGACGTGCGTCGCTCGCGCGCTACCCCGCGCTCCTCGATGCAACAAGGCCGCTCCAGCGAAAGCCACGACGAGGTGGCCGAGGAGGCTTTCGAAGACGTCGGCCTAAACGACGAGCCCAAGCCCCAGCCCAAGAAGCGTGGCATCTTCTCGCGCTTTGGCGACAACAACCATGCCAACGACAAGCCAGACGACCGGCCCTCGTCGAGCCATCACTTTTCCTTGACTGGCCGCAAGAGAGCTGAGAGCGGCGCTGGCTCAGAGCTCAAGCCCATGCCCAAGCCCGCCCCCGAGGCCGCTGTGGAAATGCGGTAATGTCAGCTTTTGCATATATGCTTATGATGAATGAATACATGTAGGATATTGCATCCATTGCTACGTTTGGATACAAAGGTTAAACAGCAGGGCATCGCAGCCATAATACGGCATCGCAGCCATAGTAGGGCATCGCAGGGCGTTTGGAGTGTAATATGCCATGGTTGCATGGTAACCAAGGAAGCAAAGGGAACTAAGAGAAAGGGGTAAAGTATCATGACATGACATGCATACCTACGCAGAAGCGCCGTCTTCTTTTTTTCTTTTCATTTTATATTCCAATTTTCATATTTCATAATCAATTAATAAATCACTAAATTGCAGACTAGTCGCGCAATTAACAGTCGTCAAGTGTTTGTGCGTTGGACAAGGATGAGAAAATACTTGCATGGTGGATATATCCGTCATGCTAATCTTGGAAATATCCGTCCGTCATTGTCATCTTGCTCCCTGCTATGTACATAGGCATCGTGTCTCATTACAAATCCTCCCCCCTTCAAAAACTACGTGCAATACAAAGCATAAACCGACTATTACCCCCCACATACGACCATAGGAAATTGAGAAATGTTTATCCCGTTTCCATCTAACCTACATAGTAACCAATTTTCCGGCGAATTAGTAGTCGGGTGGGAAACCACTGGCGAATCCTTGCTGTTGTATGTTATTTTTTTTTAAAAAAAACAAAAAACTCCTAAGTAGTCTTTTTAGTGTAGTGGTATGTATGTATGTATGTGTGTATGTATGTGTGTATGTATGTATAGGATAGTTGTTAGCAGAATCATATACGTGTTTATTACATAAGTTGTGTAAATTATATTGATAGATTGATATATCATTGAACTCTTTTTATATAACTATTTTATTAACGTATTCCATCACCGAGCGGGCCACATCACCGAGTGTGCCACTTTTTCTTGGCATCACGAACTTCATGTACGAAAACTTAGATTACTCTACACTAGCTATAGATGCTTCGTACGACTTACTTGTATCTAAAAGAGAATCTTCTTCTACATCTTTCTAGCACGTACGAGAGTTATGGCCTGTCCTCCCACAGGTTCTACAGTGCCGTTGACCTAGTAGGGCCCTTTCTTGACTACCCTCACCACGTGCCTTCTTTGATGTCGTACGACCAGCAGAACTACTTTCAGCTACCTGCGATGCCCCTGCACCAAAGTCTAGTGTCCCACCTGTCTGAATTCGCTTTCTTTTGCGCCCTCGGCGCTTTGTTACTGCTACTAATTGCTCTTCAAGCTCTCTTACGCGGGCCTTTATAAGCACATTCTCATGTAGCATCTCCTCAGCCCCTTTAATAAGCTTTAAAAAGCCTTCTTGTGCAGTAGTTAGCGATCGTACGAAAGACCCTCTTACAAGCTTTAATTGTGACCTAAATTCATGCGAATTACTTAGTGTTTTTGACGTCTAGGGTATTTCTAGCTAAGCTTCTTGTGGTGGAGTATAAAGGCGTACGTCAAGGCGATCAATAACTCTCTGCGCGTTGATAGGGACTAGCCCTGCTGCCTTAAAGGCCTTCTTGCAGTTATCAGACGTAAACACGTCAAAAAACGCGTCTTAAAAGGCTGGAAGGAAGCGCTCCTTATCAATATACTAGACATGGTGGCGTGCCAAGTCTCGTACGCGTTGAGAGTACTTCTGCTTAAGAGGCGAAAAGCAGACAACGTCAAGTAGCTGAAGTATGTGCGATGAATGAGCAGGCATATAGAGGGTAAGGATCTTTCGTACGAGGCAGTAATCCTTAAATTCTTAGTTAAGGTAGCTCTTATGGCCGTTAAGGATAAGTAGCCTATATAACCTCACCTAACGCGTCTTTGTATGCTCGTTAAAGTGCTTTAACCACGCGAGACTAAGCTCATTGTTCGTCCAGCCGTTCTCTAATACTAAAAGCTTCTAGTCATACGGTATATCCGCTTCTTCGTACCATGCAGAGATGTAGACGCGTCCCTTGTAGATAATAAATGGCGGGGTAGCGTATCCCGCAGCGCAGATGCTCTGGATGACTGTAACCCACTCGCGATTGCCTGGCTGCGTGAGAGTAGGCCTCGTACGACGCTCTGCGCCTGTGACTACCTTCATTGAGCCAATTACGCCCATCTGAAAGCCAGTTTCATCAAAGTTATGGATGTCGTCTGAATGAACTCCGTACTTCTCAACCGTCTCTCGTACGAGCTTGAACCACGCGTTAATAATCTCTAGATCCTCTTGTTAAGTTCTCTAACGATCCTTTGCTCAACTAAAGGCTGTTCTAAGCTCGTCTATACGAGTAACGAACCGCTCTGCCCAGCATTTGCCTAAAGGCTCGCCATCTCGTTCGCGTAGTAGTTTCTCCGCCATATCTGCTACTTCACATAGACGGGGGGCAAATCCTCGCGAGTCTAGGTTAAGAATATATCGTACAATAGTTTGCTCTTCAGACTTAGTTAGCTTCTAGCAATTTAGCTGTGTTGTAGGTCGAAAGGTGATTCCTCGAAGCCGCCGAGAGATCTGCTGATGATAGACGTTGTAGGCTGCTGCAGCGCGTCAAATGCTCTTAAACTAGCCTGTACGATAGGCCTGAACAGCTAGAGTAAGCCTACCTTCTTGCTGAGTTAATATCGCGTTCTGTTGTTGGGGCATTATCTTTCGTACGTGAAGTTCGTGATGCCAAGAAAAAGTGGCACACTCGGTGATGTGGCCCGCTCGGTGATGGAATACGTTATAACTAACACCTATATTCGATTCGCAAAAAAAAAATCAAACATGATACATTCATAAGTATACTAAGCTTGGCAGTGACACTAATAATACCATATCCATCGCCAGCATAAGAAACATGAAAATTCGTAATCGACCAATCGTGACAACTAATATCGGTCAAAGCCATAAATTCCCCCCCCCCCCGAACATAACACACCTTTAACCTAACCCTCCTCGGCAGGCGCAATCTGGAACGCCATGCGGAACTCAATATGCTTCTTCACAGTCGTAGTGTCGTACTGGCCCTTTTGCGTGCCGGCGAGCTTGCCCGTGTACTGCGGGCCAATGATGCCGTCCTCGGTGGGCGTGATGAAGTACGGCATCGAGTATCGAAGCGGCGTGATGCCTGAGCCGTCGGTCGCGCGCGGAATCACCACGCGATGCTTCGACGCGGGTAGATGGCCGTTTGTCCAGATTGCGCCAAAGTCGCCCCTGAGACATGGTTAGTACGTGTATCATGTGGGAGTGGTTGTATTATATGGGAGTAGATGTATAACATGAAAGTAGGAGACTCAATCCTCACATGGTTAGATACAGCCGGTCCTCGATGCTGGGGTCCGCCAGGAAGTAAGTCCCAGGGTTGAGCCGGTCTTCAATCTCGAGGCCTTGGTTGTGGTCTTGGAAGAGAAGTGTAAAGGTTGTGAAGTCGGTGTGGGCTGGGCACCACGTTGACTGGGAGCGATCGATTTCGCTCTCGGGCGCCGACGGGTAGTGCACTAGGCGGATACCGTTCTGGTGGCCTGTGTGGATGGAGCGGAAGTATTCGGCAGCCTCGTGCTCGACTTCGAGGCCGTCGATGATGCCGTTGAGAACGGCGCGGCTGACGGCTTCGGCTTCAAAGTAGAACTGCGTAATGTACGAGCGGAACCCGGGTAGATCTTCCTCGGGGAGCCACAGGCTGTAGTGCATTTTCTCCTCGTCGCTTCCAATGTCAATGTGCTCCTGACATATCTTCAGCAATGGCACGACGAGAAAAGGCAGAAAACACTAACCTTCCAGTCCAGAGGCTTTTTGCTTTCTTCTGCGAGCTCGCCGCCCATGGCTTCAAGCTCTTCTTCTGTGTAGATGAGACACTTTTCCCTACCAATGCCCGAATAGCCACGGTGAGGCACAATGCCATCAGGGTGGTTAACCTTGGTCTTGATGGCCTTGGGGAGGTCAAAGAAGCGTTTGGTCCAGTTGAATGCCTACAGGGAACAATCAACTCCAGACTTGTTGTAATACAGGTACTGATCAAAGTGCGTGGTACATACCTCCCTGATGTGTGGGATGGGGATGCCATGTCCTACAATGCCGCAGGCACCGTGGGTCCGAATGGCTTCCACGAGCTCATCTGCCTTTGCCTTGCGAGCCACGGGGTCGGTGCTTTGAATGAGGATGGAAATATCAATTGTTTGAATGCCGGTGGGTTGGGGGGGAGCGTAGGATCCCATTTTGTGAATCAAAGTACTGCAAGATGATACGGTTATGATTGATAGCAACTTGAAATGTAGTTGAAGAAGCAATCGAAGATGGCCGCTTTGGGTTTCTATGGAAATTGGCACGTTTATCAGATTACGGCTGAGTGTCGCGGTCGAACCACCTCGGTCGTACGTCGGCCTTCGTTGTACTGACCACCCGTACTAGCCAAAGTCATCGGGGTTTGCGGAGTATGTGTTGCTCCGAGACTCAAGCAATTCTCCGCAAAGCCTCGTTCGCACCATCTGGGATCCCCGACGGGAAGATCCGGGGATGCCGTTATTGATAACATGGGAGAAGCTTGCTCGGGACATGATAGAATAAATTATCGGCGATTGGATCAGCTATCGAATCTTATCTATCTTCTCATGTGATATCTTGAATCTATCTTCTTTATTTTACAATCTAAATTGAAGACATGGCTACCGATCAAGAATTGCAGCACATCTGGACCTGGAACGGTACAGTACCGGAGACGGTGAACGAATGCGTGGGGGACCTACTCACCAGCCGGGGTCAGCCAGATGCAACGGCCATCTGTGCCTGGGATGGCGAACTGACGTACTCCGAGTTGGACACACTCTCATCACGCCTTGCCCACCATCTGATGGGTATGGGAGTCGGCTCCGATTCGATTGTTCCTCTCTGTTATGAGAAATCGCGTTTTATGCCATTGGCTATGCTCGCGGTGATGAAGGCCGGTGGCGCATCTTGCACAATCGATGTCACGCAGCCGGAGGCGCGATTGCGCGTCATCATGGAGCAGATCCAGCCGCAAGTGGTGCTATCTTCGGTCGAAAATAGACATCTAGCCAAGAGTCTAATGTCTGCCAAGGGCGAGACAAGCATCGTGGCGGTCGACATGGATTTCTTGGACCAATTACCCGTGACTCTCGGTTCGCGGATACTACCGCCACCATTAGCCACACCCTCAAGCACCCTGTACATTGTCTTTACCTCTGGCAGCACAGGCACCCCCAAAGCAGTGGTGATTACACACAGCAACTTCAGCAGCGCACTCATCCATCAGACTTCCCAGCTGGGCTTCTCGAGAAGCTCAAGAGTGCTGGACATGGCCTCGTATGCTTTCGATGCGGCATGGTACAACGTATTTCACACCTTGTACGCAGGTGGATGTCTTTGCATACCATCAGAGAGTGATCGGCGAAGCGATCTGTCTGGGTGCATTCGACGTCTTCGACCAAACTTTGCCAACCTGACGCCAAAACTATGCGAGTTTCTGGATGATGACGCGCTGCGCATTCTCGACCTTGTTGAGCTGGCTGGAGAGCAAGCTGACGCAAGGACAGTCAGCCGGATGCGGGAACTTACAAGGGTGCGATTCGCCTATGGTCCTGCCGAGTGTTCAATCCTCTCCACCGTGTCCACAGAAGACGCCTCGTGCACCAACATTGGACGTGGCTTGGGAATATGTACGTGGGTGGTGAACGCTGACGATACCGATTGTCTTGTGTCACCGGGCGAAATCGGGGAGCTCTGGATAGAAGGTCCCCTTGTTGGGCAAGGATACCTGAATGACACTGAAAAGACAGCAGCAGCATTCGTTGACGATCCTCCATGGCTCTTAAGGGGCGCCCCCGGCATCCCTGGCCGCTCTGGCCGACTTTACCGCACTGGAGATTATGTTCGGTATGATGAAAAAGACGCGTCATTGCTGTTTGCTGGCCGGAAGGATGCGCAGGTCAAGATCAACGGACAGCGAGTGGAACTGGGGGAAGTGGAGCACAATATCGCACAGAGCCTTCCAGATATCGCTGGCCTTGAAGTTTTGGCGGAAGTAATAAAACCGTCTGGAAGCGATAGGACCATGTTGGTGGCATTCTTCAAGACTGTGAATGGAATAGAGGCGGCAGTTGGACCTTTGATCGAATCGTTATCGCAGATAATGCCCTCATACATGGTGCCCTCAGCCTATTTACCAGTCGAGGAGGTACCCATGACGCAAACAGGCAAAACAGACCGACGCAAACTGCGTGAGCTCGGAGCCTCCTTAACCGTGGAGCAAATCTCCAATCTCAACATGGCACGTAGTCCATGGCGGCAGCCAGAAACTCGCAACGAGAGGTTACTTCAAAAACTGTGGGCATCCGTCCTTGGGGTTCCATCTAACAGTATCGGGAACGATGACAGTTTTCTGCGGATCGGCGGAGATTCCATCCGAGCAATGCGTCTAGTAGCTGCCGCACGACGTGTGAGTATTAAACATGTTGTCCAACGAGCAGAAACGAAGGGCTAACATGATTCAAGGAGGGATTATCTCTCACAGTGGCAGACATCTTCAATCAGCCGAAATTGTGCGATATAGCCGCTTTCGTCGAAGGCTCCCTACTTTCCGACGAGCGAATCAGCACCCCTGTCCATCCGTACTCATTGATGGCCAGGGGCGTGGCTGAAGTGCGAGATCTGCGGCATGTAGCGGCCGATCTCTGTGACGTGAAGCCATGGCAAATTGAAGATATTTTCCCATGCACACCGCTTCAAGAGGGCCTACTCGCGTTGACAGCTAAAATAGCAGACAGCTTTGTCGTGCGTATCTCGTTGGAGTTCCAATCCTCGGTGAACATGGACCGATTTATGGCGGCGTGCGAATATGTAGTTCGAAACGCGCCCATTCTACGGACACGAATCGTCGACCTGGGTACACGCACACTGTCGCAGGTCGTCATCACCGAGCCCATAGATTGGAACGTCGAGACTAACACGCAGCATGTAATGGGTCTTGGAACACCACTGACTCGGTTTGCGGTGAGGGAAGGTAATAGCGGGAGGCGGTTCTTCGAGTGGACAATGCATCATGCCATGTGCGACGGCTGGTCAGTTCAGCTGCTCTCGGCCATGTTGGAGGATGCCTATCGTGGCAATTTGGTGCCAGAGCCTGCGCGCTTCCAGGAGTTTGTCCAATACATCAGAAGCGTGGACGAGGAGCAGGCCGAGGCCTTTTGGCGGAAACATCTGGACGGAAACTCGTCGCAATCTTTCCCACCGCGCCCATGCATTGGGTATCAGGCCAAGTCAGATGCCGAAGTAGCTCACCGCATTGCGAATCTCTGCTGGCCCAGGCGTGGCACGACGCCGTCGACGTTGATCCAGGCAGCATGGGCGATACTGGTGGCACAGTACACTGCCTCCAACGACATCGTGTTTGGAAGCACTATTTCAGGGAGACAAGCGTCCGTGGCCGGGGTAGAGCAGATGTTGGGGCCAACTATTGCCACTGTGCCGGTTCGGGTTGTACTTGACTACGAGGGCAGCGTCGACCAGCTACTCCATCAGATGCAGGCGCACGAGCACGAAAGGACGCGATTTGAGCAGATGGGACTGCAGTGGATCAGACGACTGGGCGCCGACGCAGAGGCGGCATGTGACTTCCAAACCTTGCTCGTTGTGCAGCTGGGGGAGAGTGAGGCGGCCGAGGAGGGTGCCTTGTTTGTCTCAGGTGCTAGGAATGCTTTTGAGCTTGGAGTTTTCAACCCGTATGCCATCATGCTTGAATGCCAGGCAGGTGAGCATGGTGTGCAATTTCGAGCCAGTTTCGACTCTAGCGCGATTGACGCGGGACAAATGACGCGGATGATGCTGCAGCTTGAGCATATTCTACGACAGCTGTGCAGGCCAGGTGGCGGCGCGAAGCTCTTGGGAAGGGTAGAAACGGCCAGCGAGCAGGACGTTCATGACCTTGTAGCTTGGAATGCTCCTGTGCCCATGGCAGTCGAGGGGGTCTCGCACCAGTTTGTGCACGATATCATCAGCTCGCTCGCGCAAGAGCAGCCTCTGGCACCAGCAGTTTGCGCATGGGACGGGGATTTGACGTATCAAGAGCTGGATACCATGTCGTCGCAGCTCGCGCGCCGGTTGCGCCAAGCGGGGGTGGGTACGCTCCCGGAAATGATTGTGCCGCTGTGCATGGACAAGTAAGTACTGTAGAATGCGCACGCCGTGACATGAGACGACTAACTTGTTGCTTGTAGGTCCAAATGGGTGCCTGTATCGATGCTCGGGATCTTGAAAGCAGGCGCTGCCTTTGCCTCGCTTTCTCCTTCGCTGCCACATGACCGGCTCGCAAACATTCTGGATTCTATCAAGCCAAGGCCAACCGTGGTGGTGACGTCTGGTCAGCAGGCCAGCCGCTTCCCGCATGCAACCATCGTCTCTCCAGGGGATGATGGATGCGTTGACGACGACGAAGAGAAGACGTTTGTGGCGGTGACGCCCTCTGGAACTGCGGTAGTGCTGTTCACCTCTGGAACCTCTGGGCGCCCGAAAGGCATCATGCTGGACCATATGGGCATAGCGACGACAGCGCGAGGGCTTGGGCGCGACTTGCTTGCGGGCCCCACGACGCGCGTGTTCCAGTTTTCATCGTACCTGTTCGATGTGAGTATCCATGAGACGTTTATGGTACTTACCCACGGCGGCTGCCTCTGTATCCCTTCAGAAGCGGAGCGTGCGAATGATCCTGGCGCAGCGCTGGTGACGCTCCGCGCCAACTGGGCCTGTCTGGCGCCGTCCATGGCGCGGGCCCTGCCAACTGATAGCCTTCCGACTCTGGACACGCTGGTCTTCGCTGGCGAGGCGCTGACTGAAGACGATGTTGTGAAGTGGACCGAGCACGTCCGCATCTTCAACTGGTATGGGCCTGCCGAGTGCGCCTTGTCTACTGTGACGCCTGTCCATCTACCACGGTGGACCGACGGCATGCTGCAGAGCGGCTCTCGCGCATTGCCCAGCGCGAACGAGTGCTGGGTGGTGGGGAGCAACACACCACACACTTTGGCTCCGGTGGGTGCCGTAGGTGAGCTGGTAGTCCAAGGGCCCGGCGTGATGAAGGGATACCTCGCATCGCCCTCGATGGATGTACTGCATTTAGAGGCCCCACCCTGGCGGCAGCGGGCCGACCCGTGCACTAGCCTCCATCGTCTATACCACACCGGCGACTTGGTGCGCCGCAATCTGGACGGCTCTCTCATCTACATCGGCCGGAAGGATGCACAGGTCAAGATCCGCGGGCAGCGCGTTGAGCTTGCCGACATTGAGTACCACGTCCGTCGCGCCCTCAATGCAGAGGCCGTGGTAGCTGACGTGCTGGGTGGCAGCCTGGTTGCCTTTGTCTACGCGCGCACCCTCGACCTCGACCTCGACCTCATCGACATCGACGGGCTCCTGGCCCATGCCCTGCCTGCTTACATGATGCCGTCTGCATACATGGCCGTCGATCACATCCCGTTGACGGAGAACGGCAAGACTGACCGGCGGAAGCTGCGGGCCATGGGTGCTCAACAGCTCGCCATGCGCAAGCAGAAGCAAAAGCAAAAGCAAAAGCGGCAGCCCACAACGACCAAAGAGAGTCTGCTCCAGAAGCTCTGGATATCGGTGCTCCCTCGCGACCTCGACGTCGAGATTGGCGTCGAAGACAACTTCATTCGCACCGGCGGCGACTCCATTGCCGCCATGCGTTTGGTTGCCGCCGCCCGCAACCAAGGTCTTTCTTTCACCGTCGCCGATGTGTTTAAGCAGCAGCGCCTGTGCGATCTCGCCACGGTTGCGCGAATGATGCCCACCGTCGAGACGTCGGCCGTCAGCATCCCGCCCTTCTCTCTGCTTCCGCCGCATGTCCGCGACCAACTCCCTCCTCTTGCGCTTCACGATGCCTTCCCTGTGACGTCGTGGCAGGCGACGTGTATTCGCCTTGCGTTGAAGACACCCCCTCGCCAGTGGCACCATTTTGCCCTCAACCTCCCCCCAACCCTCAGTCAACTTTGTGCATCCAACCTCTGTGCGCGCCTGTGGGATGCCGTGCCCATCCTCAGAGTCGTCTTCGTACCCGTTCAAACCGGCTACATTCAGCTGCTAACGGACCAGCCTCTTCCCCTTACCACTCACTATTCCCGCGTCGAAACCACCGCACAACTCGCCACCCGCATCTGTGAAGAAGATGCCCTACGTCCGGGCTCTCTTGGTACTCCCTTCACCCACTTCTTCCTGCTGTCCGGCTGTGACGGCACGCTGCGATTAGTCATGCGCCTGTCGCACGCCCAGTATGACGGAACCACTCTTATCCACATGATGGACTTCCTTCGCGCTGTGTCCCAAGACGAGCCGCTGCCCGTATTCACCGGCTTTTCGCCATTTCTCCAGCACGCTGCAGACCGCAGGCACTCGTGCCTCGCGTTTTGGGAATCTGTCCTCCACGGATCATCCGTCGCTATACTCCCACCAGACCCAATCAAGCTCAAATCCCCCAGTTCAAAAAGTGCTCTTGCTGTAGAAAAGCTCATCGCCATGCCAAATTCCTCTGGTAGCTACACGGCTGCGACAGTCTTCACAGCTGCCTGTGCAAAGTTCCTGGCCAAAGCGACCAAATCAGGCGAGGATGTGACATTTGGGCGGCTGGTATCTGGCCGGGCCATGCTGCCTGTGCACTTGCGTAATATTATGGGACCTTGTGTCAACATCATCCCCGTGAGAGCTCGTTTCCCCACCGGCGCGGATTCAACCCAGCACATTCTGGAATCCGTTCACCAACAGCACCTGGCCGGCCTAGCGTTCGAGACAATCGATTTTGACGATATGCAGCAAATTTGTCCAGACTGGCCGCACGGGCTTCGCTCTTTCGCATGTGTGACTCATTATCAGGATCTGGGCGATGCCGAGGAGATGATTGCTGGTACTTCTTGTCGCTTGGAATTCTGTAGTGGGAACAGTTCTGAAGCGAAAATGATGGATGATGCGGTTGTCATTTTAGCCAGTCCAATAGGACATCAGCTAAGAGTCGAGATTAGGGCAGACGGCGCACTGTATGCTCGCGAAACGGTTGCGCAGTGGCTGGACGAGCTAGCTACACTGATATCGGCTTTTAGTCATTGTGCCTGAGTTAGAGCATGAAACTTCTGCTAGCATAGCTGTTGGTAGGCTTTTGTACGAAGGAGCTTGTTTGTAGTGTGTCCCTATCTTGCCGCACACCTATACAGAAGCACAACGCGAAAACGTAATAAAAGTAATTTTTATTTAATCTTAAAACACTTAAACTGTTCCCTATGTTAAGGGCTGCTAGAAAGTAGATTGAAAATATTATATCCTGTTGCTGTGCTAGTAGAAGGTAATAGGAATCTAAACGCGTCCATATGTGCGGACACACTAAATGCAAGCACCTTCGTACCATCCATCGTACAAAACTTGACGCGTCGTGAGGGGGAATCGAAGCGGCGCCTGGTTTGTAGCTGTACCAAATACCTCGCTTTCGTGAACCGACTAATATTCATCGTTAAACTTGTTCACCTTGCAACAAACTGTACATGTGCCGCAATGCTAGCAGAAAACATTAGGTGCAGAAGCGTGCTCGGCTGTCCCTAGAGATGCTTAGCAAACAGCGTTGAAAGAAAGTTTTAAAGATTTAACTAAGAATAGCTTGATTTTGTATGAGTCTTGGCCCTTCTAGAGAAGATAGTACTAAACTAAGATAGATAGCTACTAGCTTTAATCAAGTTAAATAAGTCTTAGAATAGAGGTTAGTGCCAGTGAATTTATCATCTGAAAGATAGCTTAACTTACGAAGCTTTCTTGGTGCTATCAGATAAGCATCTCTAAGCACAGCTGAATTCAAGTGGGGGACAGCCGAGCCCCATACTCCGCGGGTAATCTGGTCATAGTCATGGTGCTGGCGCATTGCAATGACCCCGCATGTCGAATACGCAATAACCCCGAATGACCAATACGCGATAACCACGAATGTTTAGTACGAAATAACCCCGAATGTCTAATGCGCAGAAACTCCGAATATATCATGCGCAACTACCTGCTGGTAGGCTTAGTCCATGTATGGCGAACTCTCATAGTATAGAGTTCTTCTACAAAGAACAGCCAAGAACGCAGCACAAATAGACAGCTTCACAACACACCAACATTTTTCTCAAACTACCCACAATCAAACATCAAACTGATATATTTCTCTCCCTAACCATGGCGCTCACTGCACCAACCATGGAAGTCTTTATGGACAAGACAGAATCGTTCGATAACCACGTTACCGAACAGGTACGACTGGAAGACCAACATGAGACCATTATGCACGCAATGGGAGGGAAAGCTGTCTATGCTCCTATCGATCTCACTCAGCCCGGTCTGCGTATTCTAGACTCAGCGTGTGCCAACGGTTAGACAGTGTCCCTTGCCTCAGCGTGCCCCTCTCCCCCTGATTTACAACCACTAATTCCTCCTCTACTTAGGCCGTTGGATCAAGGACATGCAGGCTTCCTTTCCCTTCAACCACGAGTATGTTGGCACAGACGTTGTAGACTCTCTCTACCCTGTTCCAGCACCAGCGGGTGTGCATTTCCAAAACCAATCCATCAAGGAGGCCTTCCCAGAACAATGGAAGGGCACTTTCAATCTCGTTCACCAACGCCTCGTCATGGCCGCCGCCGCTCCCGAAAAAGCTCCCCTCTTCGTTGTGGAGAACCTGGCCAGTATGCTCAAGGCGGACGGCTGGTTGCAAATGGTTGAAGTCATCACAACGCCTCTGTCTGAGAACCCGGCCTCAAAAAACCAGTACATCGACATGCTCGACACATTGTACGCTAATCTCTACGGCAACAGCGACCTCAACAAGCCTAACCTCATGTCGCGGCTTCCACAAGCCATGAAAGATGCCGGCTTGCGCAACGTGCAGCAGACCGAAGTGCTGGTGAAATACGGAGCCGCCGTTTCCGACCCTGCCGTTCGTGAGAAGAGCCTGAGAACCGCAGTGGCAGGTGTCCCTTATTTCCTATCTGTGCTAAAAGGTACGAGGAACCCGGTCATCGATTGTGGTTTCAACCTTGCTGACATGCAAACAGCCATACCAGGTGTATTCAAGGACGAGTGGAATGACCTTGAGACTCGACTGTACAAGGATCTAGCCGAGCAAGGTGGATACATGAAGTATATTGTCTGCTGGGGCCAAAAGTAGTGCAATGTGAGCCTTCAAGGGTTCCTTTTTGCTGGCCTTAGGGCTTATCCCTACACACGAGAGGAGTGACGCAGATTCCATATCCTCTATTCTTTCACCATGCTAATCCTGCTAGGGACTAGCTCCTTTCCTTCCTCTTTCGTGTAGATAGACAGCCGCTCAGAGAGCGGAATACGACACAATTCTCCCCAATCCTTTACGCTTGAAACTGTTCAGGGAGACCATGCCACCTCAAATTATGCATCTTGTATGTGGTGCAAACACAATAATCTTTGTAGATCGATAAGTAAATCAGAGTAGTTAGTGCTTATTACATCATCTTATTTTTTTTCTTTCTTGCTTGTGAATCTAGAACCGGGGTGGAGAGGCTAGAGGGAATATGTGTAGGCGAGGGATACGTGGTGTTGTGCGGTCATGCTGTGTTGTATTTTGCCATATCACGTCATGTCGTGTAAAGCGCCACACTATACCCTTATCCACCATCCTATACTCTATATCCTAAAAGAGACGTCAATACCATGCCTAATATAATATACCACGTTATGCAAGATACGTCTTGTCATATAAGTGAACTATAACGTTTTGTATAGGTGGGGTGTTTTAGGTAGGTGGACGTTTGCGGTATACACGACATTTACATCACATCACATACACGATACAACGACTACACACACACCAACTTTTAAGCAGAAATCTTTCATCAAAACTCGTCAATTTTCTATCAGATATAGGGGTAACACGTCGCGAGAAACGATTTACGCACCTCTAATGTGTGCAGCCCTCTCGTTAAGGTGCTAGAGGGGGTATT